ATCCTTTTAGAACTTTGCCACTCAAACCCATCCCACACTCATGTGCCCCCACATTTCCTAAGCACAAATGCATCAAATGGGAGCAGAGAGATTTGAGTAGAGCCCAGATTTAAAATGTATAGGGGGGCATAGACATCTCCACAGATGCTAAACAATGCGGCTGGGGAGAAAACCACCAATAATAGTCATCAAATTGGAGGCTTTGAAGGTCTCAGACATCTTAAACCTTTAGAATCCCCTTAAAATACCCAGACAGCTATGCATTCATTTTCACAGAAGTGTATGCATGCATGTGTATGTATGCACGTGAGCATACGCACACACACACTTTCCCTGCATATGTAGTTCCTTTCCTCAGTTTAAGTTTCCTGGATTTCTCATATATATGCATTTAAATATAGAACTGCATAAGTAAAAGAACTGCTGGTAGCATGAGCCTCCCCACTCCCCACCCCCCACCAAATGACCAGGTTTCTGGATTTCAGAGGAGGAGGACCAGGCCTTCTGCTGGTTCCAGCTGAGCATCCGAAACAGGTGTAGCCAGAGCAGTGATTATCAGTAAGTTCCCACAGTTGGTATGCCCCCTGCTGTTAGGTACTATCTATTGCGAATAAGGCCAGACCCTAATAAAACACAAAGGTTTAAGAAGTGGGTCATTTTTTTCTTCATCCATCTATAAAGATATATGTAAAGCCTAAGCAGATACTTTGAAGTTGGCCTTTTATCTGAAAACTAGAGGCCGGGTGCACAAAATTTGTGCACAGGTAGGGTCCCTAGGCCTGACTGGCGATCAGAGCTGATCGGTGCCTTTTGGCTTCCAGCCAGGGCCTCCCTTCCCTGGCTGCCAACTGCCGACCAGGGTCTTCCTTTGTTCTGCGCTGCCCTCTGGTGGTCAGCGCACGTCATAGCGAGCGATAAAACTCCTAGTCTCTTGGTCAAACTCCTGTGGGGACACTTTGCATATTAGCCTTTTATATATAGAGAGATATCCCCAGGAAATTTTTTTAAAGGAAAAGGAAAAGTGTGCCCTTGATTTACCCTGAAAAGTTTTCCTCTTTTTAATTTTTATTTACTCTAATTGGAGTTGCCCCATCTTATTCTTTTCAAACCCACCTCTCTGGTTACTAAGGAAAATCAAGGGCCATCAGAGACCTATAAACCCCAGCAAAGGACCATATGCCCTGCTCCCAAGAAAGGGAAGAAATGAAATGAACTTCATTGGGTGCCTACTCTATACCTGATCATTTCCCACATATGACCTAGTATAATCTCCACATCCGTTCTATGAAGCATTATTAGCATGACCATCTCTAAATGGGGAAACCAAGGCTTAAGGAAGTTCAAAAATTGACCCTCAGTCCAATAGCTAAAAAGGAGCAGTGCCTGAATTCAAAGCCAGCTTATTTTTTTAAGTTACTATATAGTAAAATCAACATTATTCCATTTTGATGTGCAGTTTTATGAAATTTAACACATGTATAGATTTGTGTAATCACCACAACAATAAAAAATACAGGAAAATGTTCATTTATGCCAACCTTTTATAGTCACACCCTCCCCCAATCTCTGGCAACCTCTGATCTCTTCTCCATCACTATCATTTTGGTGTGTTTTTTTGAGATTGTCATAAATGGAATAGTATAGTATGTAACCTTTTGAGATCAGCTTATTTCACTCCCAATGCCTTTGAGAGCCATCCAAGTTGCTATGTGTACCACAGTCCATTTTTTTTTTATTGCTGCGTGGTATTATGTGGGATGGATGTAGCACAGTTTGCTTAACCATTCACCCATTGAATGACATATGGGTTATTTCCAGTTTTATTTTGGTTATTGCAAAGAAAGCCAAACTATAAACATTCATGTAAAGGTTTTTCTGTGAACATAAGTCTTCATTTATCAAGGGTAAATTCCTAGGAGTGGGACTTATGGTTCACATGGTGAGTGTATGTTGAACTTTACAAGAAACTGCCAACACATTTTCCAGAGTGCAATAGCATTCAAAGTCAGCTTTGAACACTCTGAATCCATGTTCTCACCTCTTCAACCAGCTGTCTGTCCAGAGGACAGAGGGGTTTATTGTATCGGGCAAAACTTCCTTTTGGGAGATGTTATTTCCACTTGGGACTTGAAGGAGGCAAAGTCACAAAACTTCAACTTGGACTCACAAGTTTAACATGGCCTGAACAGATTTTTTGACAGGTGGAAGAGTGAGAAATGGGAATAGAGGGGCAGCGGTGGGGGATATCTCTGGAGAACAGCCGGGAACCTGGTGGTGCAACTTGGACCCCAAACCAGGGGAAATTTTGCAGTTTTGGCTAAGCCTTAAACACCAAGTTAAAGGTGTAATGCAAAATGCTCTTCCAGTGAAATTGAAGTTGCTAAGAGTTGGAGGGAACAGGAACTATTTGTACTGCAACCTGATCTGCCTCCCTAAACCCGCTACAAAGAACTGTGCCCCCAGGCCATACTTGTAAATCCCTAAGCAAATCTAGGGAAAGTTGTGTGAAATGTGTTCCCTCCATTGCTCACACTGAAGCTTCTGGGTTTTCAAAATATACAAATTCTATTCACCTCACCCCCTTATGAGCAAACTTCCTGAAAACATATTGCCAACATAGTTTGACAAAATAACATCAACAGTTTGTAAAGGCTTGAGAGCATAGTCTCAGAGCCACACTTCTCAAGAGGTCCAGTGAGGAGCTTTGCTTAGCTGGTCACCTTTTTCATCTAGAACAGGAGGTTTCTTCATATGTGAAGTAAAAATATAAAACAATTTGAAGAAATGTTTAAAATAAGTATAATTAAGACTCTTAAAGAGATAAAGAAATATTCATAAAATAAAATTACAAGTTAGGAAAAACATACAGAAATGAAACAAAAAGCAGATTGGAAAGAGAATGAAATAGAAATATTAGAAATTAGAAATATGATGGTTGAAATTAAAAGCTTAACAAAATAAATTGTAGATCACACAATTGAAAAATTGGTGATGGAAGAGATGAATTTAATTTATCCATAACACACAAAAATGAGATGGAGAAAAAAATGGATAAATCTGAAAAAGATATTTAAGAGATATGTAAGATCATTGAAAGGCTCCAATGTATTTCTAATAAGTATTTCAAAAAAGAGAATAAAGACAATGTAATACAATGGAATAATGAAAAATATAATGATTGAGAACAGAACTGAAATTTTTAAAAAGTGGGTGGCCTCAGATTTAAACTGTTATGAAGGTCTCTGTCTCAACTTCTCAACTTTGCTCTTGTGGAATGAAGGCAGCTAGAGACACTATGTAAATAAATGGACATGGCTGTATTTCAATAAAATTTTATTTGTAAAAACAGGAGGGCAACAAGCTGAATTAGGCCGGGGGGAGGGTATATTTTGATAATTCCTAATCTAGAGAATTAACTATTGTATATGTTTTCATGTATATTCCTCCAGATATTATATATGATTATCAATGGTTAATTGTTTATATATTTGATGCACATTATACACACAAATGACTTTTAAAAAGATATAACTGAATCATACATGACCATACTTGCTCTTCTGAGCACCCACTTTCGGACAACTCAGTATCCATCATCATATCTAAAAAAAAATCTACTCCCCAAACACTGTTGAATGCAGATTCATTCTTCCCAATACAAGCCTACATCTCTGGTTTTGATGCTCACATAGTATTTAATTGTATACATGTATCATTATTTATATAACCATGACCCTAGTTTTGAACAAATAGGCTGCATACTGAAAATCTTTTGTTGGCCAAGTCATGTTTTTAATTTAAAAATATTTTTATTGATTTTAGAGAGAGGAAGGGAGAGGGATAGAGACATAGAAACATCAATGAGAGAGAACATCATTGATCAGCTGCCTCCTGCATGGCCCCTACTGGGGATCAAGCCCACAACCCAGGCATGTGCCCTCACCCGGAATAGAATTGTGACCTCCTGGTTCATGGACTGACGCTCAACCACGTTTTTACTTACAAATCCAGGCATCATATCAGTCAATACAGTTCGTGCAACTGTGTGGAAAGGCAATTTTCAGCATAAACTGAAGAAGTGTATTTTATGAGAAAAAACACACCCATACCTTTGAAATGGCAAACAGATTTAAAAGGCTCAGAGGATTAGAAGTCAGAAATTTCAGGTTGTTAGAATCTTAAAAATCTTTTTTCCTAGTGTGACTTTAGGCAGTTCCCCAGGACTTTATGGGTCAGTTTCTCAAACAAATAATAGAATGAAAACAATTGTCATTGGCTCCTGTCACAAAATAGTGCAATTTAAAATATATATATTAATTACACGTGGCTGCTGTACCAAATAACCACAAACTTGGTGGTTTAAAACAACAGAAATGTATTTTCTTTCAGTTCTGGAATTCAGAATTCTGAAACCAAGGTGTAGGCAGGGGCTCTGCTGCCTCCAAAGGCTCTTAGAGAGAATCTTTCCTTGCCTCTTCCAGCTTCTGCTGGCTACAGGCCATCCCTAGCTTGTGGCTGCATTATTTTAATATTTGCCACTGTCTCAAAAAATCTTCACCTTTGTGTTTGTGGCTTCCCCTCTTCCGTCTCTTATTAGGATACTTGTCTTTGTACTTAGGGTCCACGTGGATAATCCAGGAGGATCTCATCTCAAGATCTTTAACTTCATGACATCTGCAAACTTCCTTGTCCCAAATAAAGTCACATTTACAGGTTCTGGGGGTTAAGATGCAGACATATTTGGAAGCTCACCATTGTTTTTAAATGTTCTGAGTACCCAGGGGGAAATACGTAATCCCTTTGATTCAATCATAAGTGAGCAGAATGTGAATAAAAAAATTACTACTTTGTTTTCCCTAGGTACTGTTGTACATTTGAATCATCTCTCTAATGCCTTTTCAGCTCTATTTACACTTTTAAGTATTAGCAATGAAGGTTATCAGACAAACTAAAACTTTAGTAACTTGGTTTCATACCACTATTTTGTTTGTTTTTCCAAGCGGTCCCTGTTAGAACAATCTGAACAGCAGATTAGGGCAGCTTCTGGCTTGGAGGAACTACTGCAAATCACACACTTCGAGGACTGGAAGCTGTGGAGATGCCGGCTGAAGCTCAAAAGTTTTACCACCCCGGACTCTCGCTCAGCATCCCATCGGTCCACCAGGTTTGCGGCAACTTTCTATGACATTGAAACATTAAAAGGTAGGTGTGTGTGTATATGTGTGTGTGTGTATATGTGTGGGTGTGTGTGTGTGTGTGTGTGTGTAGGCCAATTCTTGCTCTTTCTCAGATAGTAACAAATGCACCAACTCTGCCAAAAGTTTGAGCAAGGCAGCATGTGTTAGGGAGAGGAACAGGGGGTCTGATTTCATAGCTTTGGTGTTAACGGAGAATCTTACTTTCCTATATCTACTCTTGTTTTCCTATATTAACTCTGCAGAGAAATATATTGAGTATGATTCTGAGATTTAAAAAATCAACACAAAAGAACACTTCAAAATACAGGAGTATATTTAACTCAAAGATGTGAGGGCAAAACACCCCAGAAAGATGGTTTTTAATTTTTTAAAAATCATTGTGTTTACTTAAAAAATAAAACAACCTTGGCATTCATTAATAAAAAACATTCTACTGCTATACATACATGGATAAAAACTAATAGTTTAGATATAGATTTTTTATTTCTTTGACATTCTATGGTTTTTTAAAGTAAAAAAATGAAAAGTAAAAGTTGGAAGCTAAGTTGTAATAACGTATGCTGGTATTAGTAGCAGAATAATTGATTCTCTCTAGATGAAATAATCTAAACTCCAAACTATAAAATAACATAATTGGAAATAAAGAAAATAGTAAGGTATGGTGGTCCTTTATAAGAAAACCATTGTCTATATGTACTGTGCCATAATGAATAAAATGCATGCAAATAAAATTATGTGGCTTTCAATTAGGCATTTAACTTTTTTATGAAATGTCAACATAATGCAAGAAGCCACTGTGGCAGTGTTGACCTAGCATTTTATTTATTTTTATTTTTATCTTTATTGTTGAGAATATTACAGATGTCCATCACTTTCCCCCCCATTGCCCACCTCTACCCGGTTCCTGCCCCACCCCAGGACCTAGCATTTTAGAATTGATTAAGATATGATTGCCTGCTAATGGATTATATTTATCAAATAATTCAATTTGATCACTAAGCCAAAATCATTCTTTTCTTTCTTTCTAGAGTTATCTTTACTTTTCCCCACTGGTAAAAAGATGACAAGGTTGCACAGGTCTCTATTGTTGGCTGTGGGGAGGCTTTGTGTAGGCAGGGATAAATCCCTCGGCTGCATCGTGGGCCTCAGTGTGAAGAGGATTCTTTGTGTTTTTGTATGACTGTGTGTCTAAATGAGTGGAGATCATTGGAACCATGGTCTAGAACCCACTTTAGCCAGAGGTTTGAAGCTCTAGTCACGTCTTTGTGGTAGATTAGCCTGGACTTTATGAAAGCAAAGAGGTCAGACCTCACCTGAGATCCAAGGCCTTAACCAGATTACCTGTGTAAAGACCTGAGAGGGGCTGGAGATACTCTGTGAAGACTGAGTTAGACAAGCATTACCATAAAACCAAAATTAGGTGATTTTAAAAAGTCAGTGACATTGACAATTCCTAAGGAGGAAACCATAAAAAGTGTAAAAATATTTTTAACAACTCTAAAATATTTCATTATATGGGGGGTCATCTGAAATTTTGACTAAGTTAGAAGCAGTAAATAATCAAAATAATCAAATGGGTGTAGTACATCACTTATAATTTGTTATCAACTCTCCCTCATGGATTTCAGGGTAATCTTGGAGGCAGAACAGACACACTGGCGGTATGAAGAATAGTAGAGTTATGCAGCCTTTACTCAGTGACATTGGTCATAGTTCCACACAATTTTGATTAAAATCTTACTGCTCCAACTCTCAAAACTTAGTTTTATAAAAAAGCAAATGGAAAACAGTATGTAAGTAGAATTTTAAACAGTAATATCTTCATAATTTAATCACTTGTTTTTTCTAGGATTCATGATTAATGGTAGTGAGATACCCATATTAACACCTAATTGCATAATTTATCTCTCATATTTATAGACTTCAGGCTCTTTATATAAATATTCAAAATCATAAATTTAAAAAAGTTTCTTAGGATAAAAGATTTTATTAATCAAAAAAGAGTCTAGGCAAACTGTCTAGTGTATGTAATGTTTCTCAGCTGGCCAAACATCTTGTATTTTGTGACTTTCAGTGATTGAAGAAGCAACATATGAGCAAAATTGCGATTAAGAGGGGGAAAATATGGAAACATGTTTTAAGGGAATAATTTATAGACTACAGTCAGATCTCCAACAATAATATTATGTTTGTGTTCCTTAAGCAGATGTTCCTCTGTCTCTTCTAGTGGAAACATGTTCACATATATGGGAATTTAGAATATTCTGGGGAGAGACCAATACAAATTTTTGAAGATGGGATAAAAATGGAGAAGAATTTATCTATTGCTGCATAACACTTAACCAAAAACTTAGCTGCTTAAAACAACATTTTTTTAAATCTCACAGTTTCTGTGAGTCATAAATGCACACATAGCCTAGATGGGTGTCCCTCCTGGGCCTCTCCAAAGGATGCAGTCAAGGTGTCAGCGTGGGCCACAGGTAGCATCTCGAGGTTCAACTGGGGCAGGATGTGTTTTCAAGTTCACTTAGTGGTTGTTGGCAAGACTTAGTCAAGCAACCAACAAAAAATGTATTCCTTAATGGTGCTAAAACCTGTGCACTCTTGGCTTCAATAGAAGAAATGCTATTCAGCTGTGTCATATAAATTGCTTAATAAATAACACGTTATGTCTTTACACACTTCCATTTACTTCTTAATTGACCAGCTTCTCCAGATGTACCAATGTGGTTATATACAGGATATGGTGTTCTTCACCAAAGAAAAAGAAAATTATATTCTAGAAAGGTATTGTGTAAGTGTGAAGGAACAGATTTTGACTCTAATTTTGCTGTAAACAATCTTTGGTTAAAGGACCAACAAAAAATAACTAGTAAAATAAGCGCTACGACTATGCCCAGCATGACCCTGGCTCACATTGGCATGTCAGGACCGGTTCTTCTGCTGGCCCCAATAAGCTTCCTCTCTGCAGTTATAGATGAGGAATGGCGAAGAACCCAGTGCAGCCCTAGAGAGACGTGTGTGGAGGTCGCCAGTGAGCTGGGGAGGAGCACCAACAGGTTCTTCAAACCTCCCTGTGTGAACGTTTTCCGGTGTGGCGGCTGCTGCAATGAAGAGAGCGTCATCTGCATGAACACCAGCACCTCGTATGTTTCCAAACAGGTATGAGGACGCCAGCTAGCATGTCCTCTGCCAAGTCCCAATGATGACAGTGTTGACAGCTGCAACTGAGCTTTTTGCCAAACACTGTGCTAAATGCTTCGTGTGTGTTGTCTCATTTAATCCATGAAACAAGCTAAAGGGGTATCTTTTTATCCTTCTTTATAGATGAGAAAACTTAGGCTCAGAGAAGTAACTTATGGCAGAGCTGGGCTTCAAATCTAGGTCTGTGAGAATCCAGAGCCTGAATTTTTATCAGTCATTGCCTCTCTGATGCTATAATCATATGGAAGTTACTAGAATAGACATTAAAAGGAATGAAGACAGCTGCACTGCCTTGTTGATTAGTTAGGTTCTGTGTTGTTCAAATGGAGTGACTGAGAAGAGTTTAAGGGCAGTGGTTCTCAACCTTGGGTGCACATTAGAATCACCTGGGAATCTTTTTAAAATCCTGATTTCTGGGCCTCATCCTCCGGAAATTCTGTTTCTTTGTTACTAATGTTGTGGCCCCACCCCATAACAAAGAAACAGAATTTCTGGAGGATGAGGTCCAGAAATCAGGATTTTGAAAAGATTCCCAGGTGATTCTAATGTGCAGCCAAGGTTGAGAACCACTGGGTTAGGGGAAAAGAGGAAGGGCTGGTGCAGTACCCAGAGCTAGCAAAAGGGGACCTTTTATATTTTTTTTAATTTATTTTTTTGTTGTTGTTTTTTCTTTTTTTAAATTTCTTTATTGATTAAGGTATTACATATGTGTCCTTATCCCCCATTACCCGCCCCCCCCCATTCATTGAAGAGTAGTTATGGGACCAGAGAGAAAATGAGGAAGAGGGCTGCAGGACTGGCTGGAGGAATGGAGGCCACGGTCAACCCTTAGCCTGGCAAAGAGTGGGGGGTAGGGGGTATGGGTAGGTAAGAAGACCTATAGATGTCATCCATAGATGTCAGTGTCCTGGGACACAGAGCCCAGTGGGGAAGGAAAGAGAGAGAGGATGCCATCTCTGGAGAGGCAAATGGAAAATATCTAGCACAAAAGACATTTGAAAACAATTCTGCAGTCTCCATGAAAGAAATAATTCTTCCCTTTCCATCTCATAAAATCCTTTTTGCTCAGCAGATAAGTTTTTCTTTTTATTGCTACCATATTGTTGCAAAATATAATTGTTGCATAGGAAAGAAGTAATAACAAATTTAGGAAAACATATTAAAAAGCTGTAAGTCAAACTACATTCCTTTTGGCGCTATTTTGCAAATTCCTTGTGCATGTTCATATATTCATTTAATTATCACATTTGCCTATATAGCCTTTATTCTGTATGCATATGTATATAGTAGCACAATAAAATTACATATGCGCCAAATATATCCATGTTAGGTCATTATCTTAATTAGATATAAAGAATGGAATGTTGATTTGTTTGGCAATAGGTTCTTATCCTTAATTTTGTTCCTCCTACCCCCTAAAATACCCCTTAAACTGTAGAGTTTAATTTTCCAAATCCTTTTAGAGAATCTCATAACTTGTAAATTCCGACCTCTACTATTTGACAATCAGGTCAAAAAATAACAAGCATGGCTAGGCACCAACTGTCAGAAAAAACAAAGCTTGCATTAATGTAAAAGGCTTTAGTTCATGACCACGCTGTATTCCCTAGAGCAGAGCTGAAAAATTTCGCAAGAAGATGAAATTTATGCAAAGTAAACACTCTAAAAACACTCTCTTACTTAGACTCATGGAATTCCATTACATATTGAAAGGTCAGAATAAACACAACGTTAATGGATTGTTTTCACTTAATAGATAGTTGAGTACTTTATTTTGACTGCTGTACTCAACAAATGATTGGTTTTACAGAATGTACTTAACTGTAAGTGTACAGCAGTTTTTATTTCCAATTATGCATATCTGAACATTTTAATTGTGTTTTTTTAACTACCTCTCATCCCAAAGTTATGGACTATTTCATGAAATACCTCTTAGAAACAAAGTGAACAAATGAATTCTCTATGTAGAAAAGACTACATCCACTGGTGATTGAATGGACAGAGCATTAAAATCAAGTTCAAATTCATCCGTATATCATAGAACCACTCTAAAAACAAAGTAATTGACACTTCTCTAAATTCTACTTCCCAAGATACCACCTTGCTTCTTCTGGTCACAGCAATTTCATTCCAAAAAGTAATAAAGTATATTCTTAACAGTATCACCTCTGCCTCTAGAATAGACTGCCTGGGTTCAAATGTCCACTCTTCTAATCAATAGTTATATGGCCTTAGGCAAGTTGTTTAACTTCTCTGTACATATATTTCTTCACCTGTAGAGGGTTGGGGAGGGTAATAAAAACCCACCCTATATCGTTGTAATAAGGAATAAATGAATTAATATAAAAGTGCTTACAACAGGGCTGGCATATAGAAACATAGAACGAATGACATTCATGTTACCTATAATTTAGTGGTTGGGCATGATGATTGTGTATCAGTCAGTTATTGTTGTGTGATGCTGCATAATAAACATCCTAAAACTCAGGGGCTTTAAACAACAAAGACTTATTCTCACTCATGTATCTGAGATCTAGTTAGTTTAGAGGAGGCTCCATAGGGCTTGACTCCAAGCTACAGGTTGAATCCAGGTCTGTTCCCTATGTCTTTCATCCCTTGGAACAGCAAGCCTGTCAGATCATTCTCTTCTCATGGCTACAAGCCCTACAAAGTATGCACAGTTCAAGTTTGCAGTTGTGTCATGTCTGCTACCATCCTGTTGACTAAAACAAGTCACATGGCCAAGTCCAAAGTCAAAGAACAGGAAACTATATTCCTTCAATGGAGACAGTATGAGAAGTGATAAGTAAATTGTTTTTGAACAATAATCTCTTCATCATGGTCTCAAAGAAACTTCATAGGAAAAAGAAAAAAGAAACTTCATAGGTATAATTTCATTTAATCTTTACTATTTACACTCAAATTTAAAGCAGGAGCATGGAGTAACAGTACCATTTTACAAGGGCACCAGTGGCACAAAAATTAGGAGATTTAATCAAGCTTAAATACATGGTAAAATTGGATAAGGCCCCAGTCAGCTGACTCCCAGCCCAGCAGTCTTCCCACTATGTTAGCCTTTATCCTTACTAGTTCTGTTCTTGATGAAAAAACTTTGCTAAAGTCACTACCATAAAGGACAAAGGCAAAAACGCAAACTGTAGAAATGTTCTTTTAAATATATGTGTATTATGGTTATTTTCTCTACTCTAGCTCTTTGAAATATCAGTGCCTTTGACATCAGTGCCCGAATTAGTGCCTGTTAAAGTTGCCAACCATACAGGTTGTAAGTGCTTGTCAACAGCTCCCAGCCATCCATACCCCATTATCAGAAGATCCATTGAGGTCACAGAAGAAAATGGGTAAGCATTTCTTATATTTGATTAGTACTTGTTCTTGCCTTTGCCTAAGCTGTGTGTGTAGAATACTTCATTAATTATAGAGTCATCACTTTCTTTCCAAGTTCTTCATTTTTTAGCTTCTAACTCAGATCTACTGGTAATAACTGTTTGGCAAATACGTTTTTTATCAGGTGTTAGATGTATATTGCAGTAGGACCAAACAACTCAGTGCTTATGAACTTAGCGTGTCTGCTATGGACACCTTTGTTCTTCATATGCACAGTCTAATTGCAGTTGTAAAACTTCCTTCCAGCCTCAACTTTGGCACATGTTCCCTCATTCCAAAAAAACCACAAACATTAAATAAAACTCATTCTAGGCTGTTTATACATTTCAGTCCCAAAATTAGGGGTGGGAAAAAGGTTCCTGAAGTCATTGGCGAGTGCCAAAATTATCTGCATCTGAGTTTGGAGATTTTCTAACCCTTCCTCTTGAGATTACCAAATGAAAATTTCTTATTTCAAATGAAAATTACTTAAAATTCAATTGACTTTGAAATTTTTCTAAGAGTATTTTGTGATTCTTTATGACACAAATTATAACACCCTGAAGTGTTCAGGAATCAAAGAGAAGAATCATTGATTTGGGAAAAAAATTGAGAAACAAATGAAGGTCAAATTATAAACACTGAATAAAAATATAAACTAAGTTGGATACTTAGATCTTGCAAAGGTAAATCAGTAAACACATGTGTGAGTGGCAAGTGAAGGAGTGAGCTGGTGGTTATGTTACTTAACAGTGAGCTAAGAAGACATCGCTACCTCCCTTAAGCAGAAAAGAAAGCTCATCTATAAGGAACATTTATCCTTAAGATGTTCCTGCTGTTCTGACCAATGTTCTTTATTTTAAAGAAGATAGTGCTTAGGAGCTATGTTAGAACAATATTTACTTTTGGTAAATAGGCTCTGTTGACAGGTAATTTGCATCATTTTAACACAAATCTTCTTAAAGAGTATAACTTCCCAAAATTACAGTTTCATTTCCAAAGGTTTCTAAGTAGAATATTTGTAATTACAGAATTACTAATTATATGCAGTTCATAAATATGAATTAAGCTCTTTAAAATCTTAACTATTCTCTCTCAGAAATGTATGCAACGTTTTAAAAAAATGTTTCAAAGGTACGATCGCCCTTGAAAGCTTTTAAATCCGGTTTATTTCTTTTTCCTAGTTGTTCCCATCCCAAGAAACTCTGTCCTATTGACATGCTATGGGATAGCAGCAAATGTAAATGTGTTTTACAGGAGGAGAATCCACTTGCTGGCATGGAAGGTAATGAGAGCAGTATGAAATAATAATAGTAATAATAAAAATAACAACAATAGCAACTAACATGTATTGAGTGCTTAATATGACCAGGCAATGTTGTAAGGCTTTTATACGTATTAACTCATTATGTCCTCACAATAATCCTATAAAGTACTATTATTATCCTCTTTTTTACAATCACAAAGTGTACATACTACAATGTCTAGTGATTTTCTCAAGGTCACACAAGCTAAAAGTGATAGAAGCAGTCAGATTCCACAGCTCTCTGTGCTTTAATTATATAGAAAACCCACTAATGCATTATCTGCTTTTTAATATTAAAGAAAAGTCCAAAGCAATTAGAGCATCCCAATACATTTAATTTGAAAGGGGATGGTAACCTTTAATGAAGGCCACTTCAGAACTAAACAGTTAACCACATTTTACTAATTTATTTATATAAAATCTCACCAGAAGATAAAGTAATTTTGGATTTCTTGGTTTCTTTTAACTGTGTCATGTGAAAACATGACAGTAATTTGAAAAAAAGGGGGATAAGAGGAAACTTTTTCTGAAACGAAATCAAATTAAAAGCAAAACACAGCTATTAGACTAAGGGGAATTGGGAACCAAGTGAGATAAGCAACCATCACTGCTCATAACTCATAATGCTATGATTTTTGGTGATGAGCATTTGGCTAAAAATGAATGCATTTTTGGTCATTTACCAGAGAACTTGATATGATTCCACTGGAAAAAAAATTGTAAGGAATCATGCAATTTTGAACTTTGCTTGTTTTAAACCACGATTTGCAAGCAACAAGTAAGGATTCAACTCTAAGGAATCAGTCCTTAGAACCCATAAGTAATAACTGACTTCCTATATTTCTGTCTGTCAGCATGAAAGTTTAATCCAGATTTTAAGGGAAACTTAACAGTCATGTAGTTTAAATGCCCATGAAGATCTTGAATGTTATCTACGTCCTTCCCACCAAATGCTCATCCATCCTCTGCTAGACATACATCAGTCATGGGGAAATTCACCACCTACCGAGGCAGCATATTTACTCTGACCATACTCTTACTGCTAGTAAACTATATTGAACCTAAATCTCTCACTCCAGAGCACTACTGTCAATGGAATTACAGTGAGAGTCACATATGTAAATTGCATTTTATAGTACTCACATTAAAAAGGTCAAAATAAACAGGTGAAATGAATTTTCATATATCTTATTTAATCCAACATATCAAAAATTATGTGGTTTTAACATGCAATCAATACAAAATTTTTTAATGATTTGTCCTCATTTTTGTGTGCTAAGTCTTTGAAATATACTGTGTACTTTATACATACAGCACATCTGTATTTGGAGTTGCCATTTTATGCTCAATATGGTCTGTAGCTACCATGTTGGATAGACCAGCTCTAGAGTATCAACTCATTATTTCAGGGTTACCCTATAGAGCAGCGGTTCTCAACCTGTGGGTCGCGACCACTTTGGGGGTCGAACGGCCCTTTCACAGGTGTCGCCTAAGACCATCAGAAAACACATATATAATTATATTGTTTTTGTGATTAATCACTATGCTTTAATTATGTTCAATTTGTAACAATGAAAATACATCCTGCATATCAGATATTTACATTACGATTCATAACAATAGCAAAATTACAGTTATGAAGTAGGAACGAAAATAATTTTTTGATTGGGTCACCACAACATGAGGAACTGTATTAAAGGGTTACGGCATTAGGAAGGTTGAGAACCACTGCTATAGAGTCATGTAAAACGAGTATAATTCTTTCTCCATGTGACTCATTTATACAGTGTTAGAAAGTTATTGTGGGAGGCAATATACATAGAACTTATAGGCTATTCTAGTAAAGGTTTTCCTGGTCCACAGCTTCTGAGAGAGATTTGTACTCAGGAGATTTGCATGCACGTACCATGCATTAAAGTGTGAGAGGGAATCAGGACTGGGCAGAGAGAGAAGTTGAACTGTGTTGCAGTTGCTAAGAGGTGTCAGCCAATCCTATGGGGAGCTGAAGCTGGGATGGCCCTTGGGAGGATGCCCCCCAAATTCCATCAGTTTATTGGTAAAAATGATAAATGGAACAAGGCTGGGTCCTATGAACTTGTCATTCATTGTATGTGGGCTACCTCGGGGAGGGGATGTAAACTTAGGTAACATGGCCTCTTTCTGCTGAAGGTAATTCCTGGGGAGGGACGCAGCTGGTGCACATGGGTGCTGAGGGTAGGCAGAGTAGTGGGGAAAGAGAGAAGTGCTCTGAGCATGGGGAAAATGAGTGCTCAGGACTGGAGGTGAGAGAGCATAGCATGTTGGAGTGCTGGAAGAAGTTGCATGGTGGTGATATAATAGGAGAAGGCTGGGTAGAAGTGAGAAAGAAAGCTGAGAGCTTCATAGGGCACACTATGAACCTTGTCCCAGAGCTTAGATGTGATACTAGGGGCAAAGGGAAATCACTCAACTGGTTCAAGCAGGAAACTGACAGCAACAATTAGAATTTTAGCAAAATTAACCCAGTGACAGAGTAGAAGAGGATGGGTTGTCCTGGGACCGGAAAGGAGGCAGGGTAGCTTTTGAGAAGTTGTAGCAATGATGGAAGTGAGAGGCACGGGATAACTTGGATCATGATCACTTCTAATTTTCATGTCCTATAATTCAATTAATGTGGGTCAAGTTCCTGGTCACTTTTCCAATAGTCTTATCTACTTGATGGAATATACTGAGCTTATTGTTCACTAAACACCATTTGCACACTTGTGGCAGTCAACTGCCTTTTGTGCAATGACCTCGTCACTGAATGAGCACATTTGAATTAGTGAATCTAAGTCCAATTGAATTATTAAAAAAATATATTTTATTAATTTTTTTACAGAGAGGAAGGGAGAGGGATAGAGAGTTAGAAACATCGATGAGAGAGAAACATTGATCAGCTGCCTTCTGCACACCCCCCACTGGGGATATGCCCACAACCAAGGTACATGCCCTTGACCGGAATCGAACCTGGGACCTTTCAGTCCGCAGGCCGACGCTCTATCCACTGAGCCAAACCGGTTAGGGCTCCAATTGAATTTTATCTGGTTAGATTCAGGTCATTGCTCTAACCTGTTTTAAAAAATACCAAAAAATAAAAAATGAAAAATTGGGTAGTCCTGATTTTGTATTTTATATTCCTCAAGATAGCCACAACTTTAAGAATTTACTTGGAAAAAATCCATCAGTTTATTGATAAAAATGATAAATGGAACATGGTTGGGAACAGAATACATTAGTATCACATCATCAACCTCCCTAGGATTAAAATCAATATATAACACTACAAAGCCATTATAATCAAAACAACCTGGCACTGGCACAAAAACAAGCATATATATCAGTGGAACGGAACAGAGACCCCAGAAATCAACCCACACCTTCATGGTCAATTAATATTTGACAAAGGAAGGCAAGATTATACAATGGAGTAAAAACAGTCCCTTCAATAAATCGTGTTGGGAAAATTGGACAGGTACATGCAAAAAAAATGAAACTAGATCACCACCTTACACCATACACAATAAACTCAAAATGGATAGAACACTTAAATGTAAGTGGTGAAGCCATAAAAATCCTAGAAAAAAACATAGGCAGTAAAATCACAGACATTTCTCATAGCAACATTTGTGCCAAAATATCTCCTAGGGCAGAAGAAGCAAGGAAAAAATAAATGAGGTTACATCAAACTAAAAAGTTTCTGTACAGCAAAAGAAACCATCAACAAAATGAAATGGAAGCCCACTGTGTGGGAGAACATATTTGCCAATGATACATCTGATAAGGGGTTAATTTCCAAAATATATAAAGAAGTTATAAAACTCAAGACCAGGAAGACAAACAATCTAATTAAAAGTGGACAAAGGACAACCGAAGGACTTGTATGCATGCATATAAACATAACCAATGGACACAAGACACTGGTGGGTAGGAGAGGCTGGGGGAAGGTCAAGGGGGAAAAAAGGAGACATATGAAATACTCTTTGTAATACTTTAAGCAATAAAACAAACTTGAAAGAGGACATGCAGATGGCCAATAGATATATGAAAACATACTCAAAGTCACTTATCATCAGAGAGATGAAAATTAAAATGACAATGAGGTACCACCTCACACCTGTCAGAATGTCTGCCATCAATAAATCACCAAACAACAAGTGCTGGTGAGGATGTGGAGAAAAAGGAACACTAGTACACTGCTGGTGGGAATGCAGACTGGTGAAGCCACTGTGGAAAACAGTGTGGAGTTTCCTCAAAAAAAAAAACTAAAAATAGAACCACCATTTGACCTAGTTATCTCACTTCTGACAATATATCCTAAGAATACCGAAACACCAATCAGAAAGTATATATGTACCCCTATGTTCCTAGCAACGTTATTTACAATAGCTAAGATCTGGAAATAGCCCAAGTGCCCATCAGTGGATGAGTGGATTAAAAAACAGTGGTACATCTACACAATGGAATACTACACTGCTGTAATAAAGAAGGAACTCTTACCCTTTGAGATAACATGGATGGACCTGGGGATTATTATGCTAAGTGAAATAAGCCAGTTAGAGAAAGACAAATACCATATATATTTATGAATGACTTCAGGGTATCACCTTTAGCTGGTTGCTGTTTCATTCAGTTCTCCTACATCCAGTCTCTGTTACTGAGGCCTGCCTCTGCCAACTATCTTGCTGAAGTTCAGCAAACACCTAATGGGCTCTGTTTCCCTACACCATGGGTCTAAGAATGGAGTTAGTCCTGCCAGAAGTGTTCTGAATGAGTCTCTACTGCCACCTTGTGATCCATGCAAATCTGTAAGCACTTCTTAACTATCCTTTAACAAGCTATTCTCATCTTGCCCCAAAGTGACTTTTGCCTCTCTAGAACATGGCTTACAAAGCTCATCTTTTTCCTCTTCAAAGATCATTAATTACGGAGCAGTTAAAACTATGAGATTGGATGACACAAGATTGCCATTATTAATGGTCAGATAGTGGCAATAATATATGGTGTAACCCAATGTTTTGGAATGCTGGATGAGATTTTCCAGTCTCCATACATCAGCTGGATTCAGGATCCTTTTATTACACCAAATAAACTCAACAAATATTTATCAAGTGCCTATTTTATGCCAGAACAATGAGACTTGGTTCCTATAACCTTTAGGATTCTTTTAATTAATGGAAGAAACAGAGAAATAAACAGACAAATATAAGAAGTCTTAAAAAAGGACAGGATGGAAATATGCACATAGCAAGGGCACTTGGCTAAACTTGCAGAATTTGAGAAAGATATTGGGGGAAAGAATTACTAACAAAGGGAAGTACGAGCCCAAAGGCATCAGTCTGAGACACCTTGGCATATCAGGAGAACGAAAAGTACTATAACTATAATTGGTATGGGTGGAACCTAGGTGGGGGGGGAAAGAGAGAGAGAGAGAGAGAGAGAGAGAGAGAGAGAGAGAGAGAGAGAGAGAGAGGAGAGAGAGAGAGAGAGAGAGAGAGAGAGAGAGAGAGAGAGAGAGAGAATGAATGAGAATGAATATGAGTATGGTTCATGTCAGTTCATGGAGTGTCTTGTATGTCCTGGTAGGAGAATTGGCTTTTATTTCGAAAGAGAGGGGAACCTTTTAAGGTACTTAAATCAGTAGTGATTAGATTTGCATTTGATAACCTTATGAAGAGTGAATTGAAAGGGTAAAACTGTGCTGGCAAATGAGTGACAGCCATCTACACAAAAAATACAAGGTAGTGGCTGAATTGAGGCAGTGGTAGTCGTGATGGAAAAGAACGAACAAATTCAGGGAGACAGAACTCAGAAGTGGGTGGACATGGTGATTAGGTTCAATATAGCAGATGAGTCAAGAGTAATGGCACCATTACTTAAATCAGGCAAACTGGAGAGAAGCAGATTTGAGTAAGAAAGTAAACATGTACTTGCTCTGAAACCTTCAATAATGCTAAGGTGATATAGTCAAGTTCTTTCAAAGTTTCTCTTTCAGTTTTTGCAATGAATTTCAACTTGATGATTAGAATTGGACATGGAGCAATTGTACACTTTCTAGAAATGTCTGTCAGCTAATTGTATAAAAAACTTTGTAGACCCTCCTCTCTCAGCTGAACATATCTCTCAGAAGATCTCTATGGAATCCAAGTTCATCATCACTATTTCATTTTTATATCAATATTGTGATCTGTGGTGAGGAAATACATCACTGTTTCTATCCACAATCTGGAAGGGCTGAAGTGTATTTCTACAGTTCCAATACTTCTGTTCCTCTCTCCTTTTAATCTTCACCTAAAAACTGGGGATGACTAGACTCATAATCCTTACACATCCTATATTTTATTATTCATACTTGATTGTAAAAGTTTGCATTTTTAACAATTCACCAACCTAAAAATCTCTAAAAAATATCAACAAGAATATTCAGTTTATAACATTTTTATCACAAACTGAAGAGAACATATGAATTCTGTATTTGGATTGTGAAATTAGAGATGAATCTCCTTCATTGTGCAAAGACTAGGGGGAAATCTACAGGAAAGGAGATTTCGTGAATTCAAGTGATTTGAGAATGATGTAAAGAATACACTTTGGGAATTATGCTACCCATGCTACAGCTATTCGACCAACACTTCTCTATTTCCGTGTAGACCCCTCTCACCTTCAGGAACTGACCCTCTGTGGGCCGCACATGAAGTTTGATGAAGACCGTTGTGAGTGCGTGTGTAAAACAACCTGTCCCGCAGATCTCATCCAGCACCCAGAAAACTGCAGTTGCATTGAGTGCAGAGAGAGTCTGGAGAGCTGCTGCCGGAAGCACAAGGTATTTCACCCAGATACCTGCAGGTGAATGGCTTTTTCACTTTCGCCTTAACTTGACTCATCACCATTTAATGTAAATGCCATTTTGATTCAGTGGGATTCCTTATTAAGCCATTTTTTTTTCAGTGCCCAAGCCCCTTTTTGATAGTAAAACAGAGGTTTGGCAACTAAGAATAAGCAAGAGATTACAGAGTGATGATTAATTGAGAAATCAAGAAAATCCTGCTTGCTATTATTGGCTTATGGATCTTAAGCAAAAACTAGAATGATGAGATGTAAACAATTATTTGTGGGGGATAGTGGGGCGTTTCAGGTCAGTAGACTCTTTGGTTCAGTCTCTCTCAATATATGAACATATACGTTTATTTGGTTGTTTTTTCTTTGAGAAAGAGGATATTACTGGATTTATGTAGCAAGAAATTTATTGATGACTAGAACAGTTAAAGGTTACTGAGTGCACTTTAGTAGATTTGGATTCCATGTGGGATAACTATTCAGGATTTTATATTGACATTTTAAATACATATCTGGAAAATTTACTTTAAAAACTTAAATCAGAACAGAGTTATTTCTTTGAATATAGTCCTGGATTCTGAATTCTCACGTGTATTTATTTATTTTTCACAACAGCTGTGAGGAAGGATGCCCCTTTCACACCAGAATGTGTACAAATGCTAAACCAGCCTGTGCAAAGCATTGCCGCTTTCCAAAGGAGAAAAGGCCTACCCCTGAGCTCCACAGTCAAGAAAATCCTTGATTCAGCTTTGTTCCCAAGTTCCTCCTCCCTCATTTTAAACAGCATGCCGCTTTGCCAAGTTGCTGTCACTGTTTTTCTTTTTTTCCAGGGGTTGGAAAAAATTCATTTCACATAGTACCGGGGGAATCCAAACCAACCTTCCATTAAACAGCAGTTGAGGATTCCCCGGTTCCTTGATAGATATCTTCTCTGCACACCAAGAAGTGGAGAAGAGGGAGCCTGTGTAACCCTTTCTGTTTGGTGAAAGAAAAAGGTTTGATCATCATGGAATGATAAGTGCTTTGTCACTGATTACTCACAGCAGAGGAGGCAATTTGAATAGTCTCTGAGTCCTTTGCTAATTGCAACTCTCCTGTGAATTATTCTGATTCTTCCTTATGCAGATTTGATTCATATGATCAGCACTGATTTTCTGATTACTGTCCAGCTTGTAGTTTTGAGTTTACCAAACTCCTGTCTGTTGTTTCATATTTAAGTGTATTTAAAGAAAATAAACACCATTATTCAAGCCATTGAATTTTGTGTGTTATTTAATATGCTTCCACTCCAAATTTTATGCTAAAGAAAATAATGTTGTGAAGAGAGAAAAGAATTTAGAAGTGGGGCTTGTGGGGAGAGACATAGCACAACAAAACTTCACACCAGTTTTGGAAAACCTAAGGAGTAGCTATTACAAGGTTTAAGATGCTAAACAATGTTAAATAAATGTGACCCCCCAAATCAGCTGGAAACCAATCTTTTCCTTGAGATTCAATTTAACTTGACTTGACCCTCATCCCAGGGCACAGGGGAGCCTACTGGCTCCCTGGACATCTTTGGATCTGCCCCCAAACCTACTCAAACCATGTTTTGGTTAGTGGCTCTATCTTCCTAATTGCCATTTAGGTGGAGCTATTATCAGGAATTCTGGGCTAGAACAAAACTATTTGCAATTTGGCTTTGCACTAAAACCCCTCCCTGTTGCCTCCTCAACCCTCAATAACCACCAAGAGATTTGCACTTGGATTCTGAGGCTGGATCTGACCTGGGGTGGGGCTGGTCCTCAGGGTGGAGGTGGGGTAATTGGCCTATTGCCTTATTAGAATTCACTGGTTATTGTACAGAAATACTTATCATTTTGGTATGTGGGCTGATAAGTCTCAATTACCAAGAGCTTAAAGCAATTACAATAAATGCCAGTGATGTATGATATCCCTAATTATCTAAGCCACAATGCCAGAGAGTTAGTAATATGACAGCTCAGATTATAAATCTGTGACTAAGGCAGTGTGGTGGGAGGTTGTTTAGAGATGCAAACAGATTGGAGAGCATAACGATCAAGTTGGATGATATTAAAATGCTGTTTGAGATACTTGATAAAGGAGATGGCACAAATAATCCATTTTAAGGCTTTTAAGGGAAGCGATAGATTGGTGAAAATTGTAAGCTTAATAGATTTGGTCAATAAGAGCTAGACTTTGTCTAATTTACTCATAATCCTCAGTGTGAGAACAATGTATTGCATATAGTAGATGCCTAATAAATAATTATTTAACACATAATGAAGTATTGCATTGATTTTGTGATCAGGGAATGGGAACTCATCTGCCATTGGAATGCCCAAGGTGAACTCTCATTCTCCAAGGACTCTCTACATTTGGCTTTCCATGTGTCTTGTGAGAGCTTCTGCACAGCATAGCCATTGGTTTTCAGTTGGAAAGGTTCCAATAGGACATGCCCCAGTACATAAGCACTTAGAAAGTTTCTGCTGTGTTTCATTTACAGATATCCCACTGGCTAAGCAAGTTGAGTGGCCAAGCCCAGAGTCAGTGTGGGAGGGGCTTAGACAAGGGTGCAGATATTGGAAAGTGGTTCATTGAAGGCCACCAATGTAAATCTCCCACAAAGGCCACACATGGAGCTGTTAGTCTATTATTCTACAAGAGCTGAACCTTGGTTCATGTGTTCTTGCTTTCATATACAGAGTCCAGGACCTACATGGCTTTGGTCTGATTACCATTTTGCATTTTGGTTCTGTTTCTCATACATGGAAGTGTTTATGTTATTTTTAAAAAAACTGCTATAACATTTTAATTTTATCACTTATATCTCTTATTTTTCCATTTAAAGCAGAATGATGAGCGAGGAATCTCAAAATGTTAATTGAAAACGTCATATTGGCCTGAAGTCTGGCTCAACCTCAAGTCCATTTTCCTAATGCCACACTTCTCCTGTCTGAACCCTTCCCTCTCCCTTCCCCTGTATAATTATACAGTACTGTCCACTGGACAGTCAGCACCTGTCTCTGTACCTTGATCATGTTGTTCTTGGGATGGTCTTGCTCCCAAAAGATGCATAAGCACCCTTTACTTCTATTAGCTAAATGCTGGCAGCTAGAAATACTCTTTCTCTCTGAACTCCCAGTGATTATTTTTGTGTTTCTCTACTGGCATGTATCACTTACTACCTTTCATCATATTTACATTTGCCTTAACTTCGTCTTGGTTCCTTGGGGGTAAAGCTCATGCCAGGTTTTTCTTGCCTTGTGACTTAGACATAGATAGCAGGCTCTCACTACAACTGTGTTGCCTTCCCATTTCAACATTATCCAACATAACTAATTTACATATGTATTTACAAAGAGCTGAATTTCAAGGGAAGGTGAACTGAACTCCATGTTTATTTTACTTTCTCCATTTATAGGTCATTTTATATTATAACTGCTACTGATTACCTTTATATTTTATGAAGTATAATCAGAATACGCTGCATGTAAGTATTTTAGTCTATTTTTAGTGGTTTCTAAGAAAATTCTCTAAAGGCATACCTTGATACCATACATCCAGGCAGAACACTATACTGTAATTAGAATTATCCCCAGATTTATAACTTAATTTTGCTGCTACAACTGTCTTTTCACTTTAGAAAATAGAGACCTTTGCTTAAGGTCTAACTGATTATAAATGGAGTCTTGTACCCACGGGAGATTGTGACCCATGTGCAGAATCATAATTTATTTGCCTTTTAATGCTCAGCACCTAGGTTAGAGATTGAAGCATGATGAATGTTCAATATTTTCAGACTTTGTTGAAATCTATAGCCTTTGTTGGAAAAGTCTGAAGTTTTCTCGACCCCCTCCCCCACAGAGACTCAGCAACAGTGTACCTTTATGAATATCTATTTATAAAGGTCAGCCTATTCTACAGTATTTAAACACAAAGAACCTTTCAAGAAAAGTGAATTTCTTTATGCTACTGGTAAAAGTTATATAGAAAGAAAAAAAGGTTTTAAAACATAGGGACTACGTTTAATAATCCTTGTATTCCCCACAAAATCTTTTACAGAGTAAGCACTCAGTAAATGTTTGATGATAAAGATAAAAAATATTTGTTCTGATTTGAGAAAAACATCACAACTCTTTTGAAGAAGCACTGGCATTAAGATCTTAGCAGATTCATGGTACAATTTCTAAACTGTATTGTGATCAGAACTATGGCCGTGGCAAACCAGGGGCTCAATAAATGAGGCTTAACCCTCATTTATACCATTCAGGATGTCTGCCCACACCCTTTGTCTTCACCTATTGCAAAAAATGAAAAGGAGACCAAAGCATTGCTGTATACCATCTGGTAGTATTAGTGTTATCTGTGAAGCCAACTTCAGGTTATTAAGCTTGAATAAATATCCTTGAGTCTTCATCACTTTTATGCTCTGATGCGTCAATAACACAGAGCAGAGAATCCACTCCTACCTGTGCCTTACTCATTAAGTTTAACTCATTAATACACTTCAAATCCTACAGCCAAAATGCTCTTTGAATTATATAACTGCACTGTCATTTTTATGAGGTACACTCTACAAAATATTTTCAATACATTTTATTGGTTATATAATATGTCAGGGACTGTGCTGGCATTGGATAAAGAAATTCATTAATACAACTAAAACTTATTTCCTGTCTGTTACCAGGAACAGACCCTGCCTCAGCTTACTATCTGGCTGGGAAGGCAGACATTTAATAAGCAAATACAGTTGTCAGCTTTTGGAAAGAAGTCCATGTGAGTTTCCAAGAAGACACAAGTTTTCAAGAATTAGGTTGAGGAGGAAGGGGGATTACAGCCAGACAAACAATTTGAATATCACCTGATAAATGCTGTATCAGCAAGTGGCCAAAGTACTATCAACATACAAAAGAGGGAGAATTTACTTCTCTCTGAAGGTTTGGGGAGAGCATCTGAAAGGAGCTGACATTTTCAGGGAGGAATAGGTTTTCTACTGACTTAGAAGGGGTGTTAGTGATGGTTTCAAGGAAGGCATTCATTCTCAAAAGTATGCAGGGCAGGGCTGGGGAACTTCAAGTAGGGACAGTGAAAGGTGGATCAGACCACACCCACTGATTCATTAGCTTCTTGGCCAAGCACCACTATAGCCAGTTGAACCAGTTTGAGTGGGAGTTGATATTTCAGCTCAGATTTTTTTTTCTCCAGAGTATACAAGTTGCAAGATAAAACACAAAATGCCCAGTTAAATTTGAATTTCAGATAAACGACATATAATTTTTTTAATAAAGTCCCCAACATCTGGGACATACTTATATAAAAATATTTATCTGAAATTCGAATATTTTAAAAATCTGATTTGACTTATTTGTATATTTTCATTTGCTACATCAGGAAACCCCACCAGAATGGTAAGAACCAGAATGGTTCTGCTGTGGCAGATAAGTCAGAAACAGAATGACACCATGACCCCGCCTTTCTATAGCCTTCCCACCCCAATCTTTCCAATCTAAAGCCAGAGAGAACAGGCTTCGGGAAAAGAAACGCTGTAACTAGGCAACCAAGGTTCGAACCCACCTGACCACTCCATCGTGCGCAAGATTCAGCTTTAGAACTGCGGTGCATTCTGGGAGTTAGTTTTCTAAGTTCGGACTCGTCTTCAAAGGCCACCGGACTACAACTCCCAGCAGCGCTAACCGGTCGCTGCGAGGCACGCTGGGGATTCTGGCTCTGTACCGTGCGGCCGGCCCGGAGGACTGCTTGCGTAACAAGACACCACGGCCGATTTTCATAGATTCGCGACATTAGGGATTCATATGAAAGGTTACACCGACGATTACTGCTTTCAATACGGAGACAACAATTCTTCCGTAACTTTGTGGAGACATGCGCATGCGCGCTGAAGTTACAGCCCTAGCCGAGGAGTGGGGTCTGAGCGCCGATCCTGCGCGTGATTCCAGCGCCTCTTTGTTATTGGCTGCTTCGGGGCGCGGTGCTCGGGCGCGGACGCCCTGGATTGGTGTTTGGGAGCTGAGGGGTGGGACTCCAGATGCTGCCGCGGGAGGTCCGGACACTGGCGGCCATAGGACTCGCCGGTAAGTGCGCGTCTGACCTCCCCTTGCCGGCTCTCTCCGCCGCTTCCGGGTGGGACAGGACTGCCCCCCGTGGGAGCTGGGCCGGCCGTGGAGGGGCGGGGCCGGCCCGGCTTGTGGATCAGAAGTCCGGGTCGAGGGTCTCTGTACTCCAGCGTGGCTGAGGACTCGCTGGGGCAGACTTAGTGGAACCGGGTCTTCCCTTCCTTGGCACTGGCGCTCCCCAGTGTCCTCTCAGTGAATAAAGCCGGGGCAGT